AAATAAAAATATTTTTCTTTTTAAATGTTTTTATTTTTAATTATTATGGGTACATAATAGCTGTATACCTTTATAGGGGACATATGTTTTGATACAGGCATATAATGTGAATTAATCAAATCAGAGTAATTGGGGAATCCAAAACCTCTGGCATTTATCATTTCTTTGTGTTAGGAACATTACAATTCTACTCTTTTAGTTATTGTAAAATATACTGTAACTTATTGTTGATTATAGTCACTTTGTTGTTCTATCAAATATTGTTCATTCTATCTAACTACATTTAACTATTTTTTTGTACCCATTAACCATCCCCACTTTATCCCCACCTCCTAACTACCCTTCTCAGTCTCTGGTAACCATCATTCTACTCTCTGTCTCCAACAGATCAATTGTTTTTAATATTTAGCTCCCACATATCAGTAAGAATATACAATATTTGTGACTATACGATATTCCATTATGTATATGTACCACAAATTCTTTATCTATTTATCTGTTGATGGATATCCATGGCTATTATGAATAGTGCTGCAATAAACATGGGAGTGCAGATATTTTTTCTGTGTATTGAATGCCCCTCCCTTGGATAAATATCCAAGAGTGGATTTCTGGGTTATATATAGTTCCATTTTTAGTTTTTTGAGGAACTTCCATACCGTTCTCCATAGTGATTGCACTAATTTACATTCCCACCAATAGTGTATGAAGATTCCTCTTTCTCCACATCCTTGCTTTGGATAATATGGACTATAACTGCTTTGGGTAATATGGACATTTTAACAGTATTGATTCTTTCCATCCATGAACATGGAATATCTTTCCTTTTTTTGTGTGTCCTCTTTAATTTATTTCAGAAATGTTTTATAGTTTTTATTATAGAGATCTTTCATGTTTTTGCTTAAGTTTATTCCTGGGTATTTTATTTTATTTGTAGCTATTGTAAATGGGATTACTTTCTTGGTTTCTCTGTTAGATTGTTTACTGTTGGTATACAGAAATGCTACTGATTGTTTTGTATGTTGATTTTATATCCTGAAACTTTACTGAATTTGTTTATCAGTTCTAATAGTTTTTTGTGAAGTCTTTAGGTTTCTCTAGATATACAGTCATAGCATCTGCAAACAGGGATAATTTGACTTCTTCTTCTCCAATTTGGATGGGCTTTATTCCATTCTCTTGTCCGATTACTCTAGCTAGAACTTCCAGTAGTATGTTGAATGACAGTGGTGAAAGTGGGCATCCTTATCTTGTTTCAAATCTTAGAGGAAAGGCTGTCAGTTTTTCCCTGTTCAATATACTACTAGCTGTGTGTCAGTCATATATGGCATTTATCATGTTGTGGTATGTTCCTTCTATACTAAGTTTTCTGAGAGTTTTTAGCATGAAAGGATATTAAATTTTATCAAGTACTCTTTCTTCATGAATTGAAATATCATATGGTTTTTGTCCTTTGTTCTGTTGATATGATGTATCACATTGATTTATTTTCCTCTGTTGAACCATCCTTGCATCCCTAGGATGAATCCCACTTGATCACGATGAATAATTGTTTAAAGAATTGTTGAATTCTGTTTGCTATATTTTGTTGAGAATTTTTGCATCTATATTCATCAGCAATATTGTCCTATAGTTTTCTTTTTTGTGTGTCTTTGTCTGGTTTTGATATCAGGGTGATACAGGCCTTATAGCATGAGTTTGGGAGTATTCCCTCCTCCTTGATTTTTTGGAATAGTTTAAGTAGGATTGCTATTAGTTCTTATTTGAATGCTTAGTAGAATTCAGCAGTGAAGCCATTGGGTCCTGGGTTTTTCTTTGATGAGAGACTTTTTATCACTGCTTCTATCTTGTTACATGTTATTGGTTCATTCAGGCTTTGAGTTTCTTCCTGGTCCAATCTTATTAGGTTGTATGTGTCTAGGAATTTATCCATTTCTTCTAGGTTTTCCCGTTTATTGGTGTATATTAAATAGTTGCTCATAATAATAGTCTCTAAGGATCCTTTGGATTTCTGGAATATCAACTGTAATATCTCCTTTTTCATCTCTGATTTTATTTATTTGGATCTTCTCTCTTTTTTTCTTAGTCTGGCTAAAGGTGTGACAATTTTGTTTATCTTTTCCAAAAACCAACTTTTTGCTTCATTGATCTTTCATATTGTTGGGGGGTTTTGTTTTAATTTCATTTATTTCAGTTCTGACCTTTGTTGTTTCTTTTCTTCAAAAATATTTTGTTAAAGCAGAATAAATAAAGAAAAGATTTATTACATTGGGACTTTTATACCAAAAATACAAAATTGGACCTGGGTGATTAATCTTTTGAAAATAGGCTATGCAAATGTCACTACTTAACACATTTTCTTTCCCAAAATAGTTCTATAGGAAAAGAATTATCAAACGATTTTACACGTGATAATTTGATTTGATCACCAAACTACAATCTTAAAAATGTGGACAACTCAACAAATTGCAAACACTACAGCCATGTGGGAAAGCTTCTGAATTGCATTCTAGGTGCTTAGGAGGACAACAAAATTAATAGCCCAGTGCTTTCACAAGACATAGCTTGAAATAAAAGAGCAAGAAGAGGGTGACTCCATGGAGAAGAAAAACTGCACTGGGGTAAAAGAATTTATTTTCCTTGGCCTATCCCAGAATCAAGGAATGAGCTTGGCCTTATTTCTTTTCCTCCTTTTGGTGTATGTGACGACTCTGCTGGGAAACCTCCTCATCATGGTCACTGTGACCTGCGAATCTCGCCTTCACACCCCCATGTATTTTTTGCTCCGTAATTTATCTATTGCCGATATCTGCTTTTCCTCCATCACAGCTCCCAAGGTTCTGGTAGACCTTCTGTCTGAGAAAAAGACCATCTCCTTCCAAGGCTGCTTCACTCAGATGTTTTTCTTCCACCTTATTGGAGGGGTGGATGTCTTTTCTCTATCAGTGATGGCATTAGATCGATACGTGGCCATCTCTAAGCCATTGCACTATGTGACCATCATGAGTAGAGGCCGTTGCATTGGGTTAATAGTGGCTGCCTGGGTGGGGGGCTTTTTCCACTCCACCGTGCAGATTTCCCTGTTGCTCCCACTCCCCTTCTGTGGACCCAATGTTCTTGACACTTTCTACTGTGATGTCCCCCAGGTCCTCAAACTTGCCTGTACAGACACTTTCATACTTGAACAGTTGATGATTTCCAACAATGGACTGCTCACCACACTATGGTTTTTTTTGCTCCTGGTGTCCTATATGGTCATACTGTTATTACTAAGGTCCCAGGCAGGCGAGGGCAGGAGGAAAGCCATCTCCACCTGCACCTCCCACATCACTGTGGTGACCCTGCATTTTGTGCCCTGCATCTACGTCTATGCCCGGCCCTTCACTGCCCTCCCTACAGATAAGGCCATCTCTGTCACCTTCACTGTCATCTCCCCTCTACTGAACCCCTTGATCTACACCCTGAGGAACCAGGAGATGAAATCGGCCATGCAGAGACTAACAAGAAGACTGGTGCCTTCTGACAGGAGTAGACTGGTATTTCCATCCTCTCACCACCTTTAAAAATGTTTGAGCAGTGGTCGGATGTGGTGGCTCACACCTATAATCCTAGCACTCTGGGAGGCTGAGGCAAGAGGATCGTTTGAGCTCAGGAGTTCAAAACCAGCCTGAGGAAGAGTGAGACCCTGTCTCTACTAAAAAAATAGAAAGAAATTAGCTGGACAACTGATATATATACATATATATATATATATATATACACACAAAAAAAAAAAACAATTAGTGGGGCATGGTGGCACATGCCTATAGACCCAGCTACTTGGGAGGCTGAGGCAGGAGGATCGCTTGATCCCAGGAGTTTGAGGTTGCTGTGAGCTAGGCTGACACCACCGCACTCTAGCTCGGGCAACAGAGTGAGACTCTGTCTCAAAAATAATAAATAAATAAAAATGTTTGAGCAGCAATTTGATTCTATTTACTGATTTATAATTAATATTTCTAAATCTATTAATAAGACACACATGACCTTTAAAATATTATGAATAGCATGTCATAGTAACATAAAAATATGGATTTTGTATCACAAAAGAAAGTACAGAAGTAAAATTATTAGCAGGAGAGGTGTATATTGCTTTTGCAATACAACTTTGGAAAAAATCAATGAAATGGAATCAAAATACACTCAGACATTGCCTCTACATTCTGTACTGTCATCAAAAAAGGGCTGAGACACATATTAGAAACATAATCCAAATTGCGTACTGAGATTCCATAAGATCTTTCCTAAAGTAAACGTATCCTAATGAAGTAAACACATCCAAATTAAATTTATTCTCCAATTCTGTAATGTAAACAAATTAAATAACTATCACCTGAAGATTTTTTAATCTAAAGCTCACCCTCCAGTGTTTGAGAATAGGTGCCTTGGAATTAGCACTGCTTGAGTTAAAACATGGATTTCACCAATTACGAGCTCTGTGACCCTGAGCAAAGTCCTGGCCTGACCTTCTCTGCACCCCAGTTCCACTGGCCACCCCTTCAGTGCCTTCCCTCAGCAGCCTGTGCTTAGCTCCAGCACAGCACTCGGGACGCTGTTCCAAATTTCCTGCTCTCTTTCATATTCCCAGCACCCGACACAACTGGAATATAATAAACGCTACTAAAAAGTCGTTGAATTAAAACAACAAATGAATATTGCCTCTCACTCATTTCTGCTCTTCAAATCATTGGAGGATATTGTTAAGAAAATAACTAATACCTTTTGACATTCTGAAGATATGACTCCCTAAAAATAATTTAAACCTACAAGATTTCTTTTCCTTTATTTTTTTTTCAAGGTGCACGCTGTATTTTTCTCCACGGCCACCAAAGGAGGATGTTCCTCGTGTGTCCTCGCCTTGTTCTCCCTGTGCCTTGCGCAGCCAGCATCTGCTCCCGCTCGGGTCCAGTGGATCCTCCCGCCAAGCCCAGGCTGACCTGGCCACATGGTGCCAGCAGCTCTCACTCCCACTTCCCTGGTGCAGGAGGTGGAGTGGGTGGGGCGGGGGCCCGTGTGGGCGGGGGCCCCGCGGTGGGCGGGGCCCTGTGGGCGGGGCCCGCGGTGGGCGGGGGCAGCGGTGGGCGGGGCCTCATGGGATCAGGGGGCCCCTGAACAACCTTGATCTCAGCCTCAGCTTTGGCGACGGTAGCTTTGATTTCCTGGGGTAGGGACTCCACCAGCTTCTTTGCCTGGACGAGGGTTATGCCCTGGGCGTAGTTCTGGATTTCCTTGATCAACCTGACTGTGTCTACGGGCTTTGCTTCTGTCCACAGTGAAGTGTGTCCGTTCCTTTTGTTTGGGGATATCTTCTTCCGCCACCTCCCGGACAGCAGCAGGCTCTACACCACCCATCCGCATGAGTCCCACATCCTGAGTCCTCACCGTTTCCTTCAGGAGTTGGTTGAGGTCTGAGATCTCCAGGAGCGTGAGGCTGGAGACGTCCTGGACCAGCTGCTGGGTCTTGAGGGGACACTCCTTGGGGGCCTTACCCAGTGGTGCACCCGCCAGGGCCCCAGCCCTCCTGTAGCCACCGGTACTCATCTGTCGCACCACAGAGACACCTGGCACCTGTTGCCTGGCGAGGCAGACACGCCCCCAAAGGGGGTGAACGGCTCAAAGGTCACACGCGACTCCCCCAAAACCTGTAAGATTTCTTCAGACTACGTATATATATTCAAAAAGGCTGGAATAAAGTGAAAAACATTATTCGATATATCAACTTGATTATTGTTTGCCTAATACGCTATTTTTAGCTGCTGGGAGGATTTTTTCCCCATTTCTGAGAGTAGATCCTAGATCTTAAAATCATCAAAGCTAGAAAAGTGTTTGTGTCGTGATATAAAACAAGATCTCAGTTCACATCAGATATGCAAAGGCCCTGAGATGAGGATATGCCCAGAGGGCCCAAGAAACATCAAGGAGGCCTTAGTGACTAGATGGGAAGGAGCGAGGAAGAGAGACAGACTACGTGTACTGAGGTACAGGTAGATGAGAGATGAAGGAGCCTTGGGACCAGGTCATCACAACCTAGCAGGCCATTGCAAAGCTTTTGACTTTCACACTGAGTAAGATAGAATGCATTTGGAGGGCTTTGAAGAGCAGAGCAATAATGCATGTTTTGACAGGATTGCAGAGGCTACTGTTATGAATAGACCGAAAAAAGCTAAGGACAAAAACAGGGAGACCAATTAAGAACTGACTACAACAGTCCCAGGAGAGAAATAATGAAGACATGACTTAGGGCAGTGATGACGGTCATAGTGGGGAATGTGAAAGACTTTACAGGTCAAGGTAGTGGGATTTGCTGATGGACCCAATGTGGGTCTCCTCACCACATGTGTGCCTTGTGAGAGCTCCCTCATCCAGTTTAGTCATCAGCCCATCGAGAGCTCCTTCATTCTCACTTCCATGGCCCCTTCAGATTCAGTGGCTCCTTCCAATGCTTCTGTGTCACATTTCAGTAGTTCCTCTGCCTAAGGCAGTTGTTCAGAGTCCCCAAGAATAGAAATGTTATTTCCCAGTAGGAGCCGAACATGAACCTCGTTTTGTCACATTGCAGGAGTCAATGTAGCTGTAGAATTTTCTTAGGAACTTGAGCTTCCCAGAAAGCATCCCTGTAAGCAAAGCTGGAAAAAAATAGATGAAAATAAATTCACTTTTTATATTCATTAACAAATGTTGTGCCTAGAAATGATAAATAGTATGAAATGCCAGTTTTTTGTTTCATTTCGGGTTTTCTGTTACCATTTGATGTTATTTATATTTCCATATTGTGAAATAAATATCATTTTTATTTTTTTAAAAAAAGGAACCAGTGTTCCTTAGAAAAATGTCTGATTTTAAGGCTGAGACAGGGAATACACAGTATGAGCCTAAAACATCTTGTACTGCCAAAAAACAAGGAAACATTCAAAATACAAAACAATGGAGTATGTCAAAGGAGCACATGAGTCAACAGAAAGAGCTCCCAATGGACAAAGTTGGAAAGATCCAAGCCACAAAATACATAATGTAGTGTTGTATGATAGCCCAAAGTGTAAAATAAATATCCATAAGTGAGTCCACACTGATATAAATAAATGATTGAATAAATAAATGAATGGAGGAGAATAGCCAAGTCTCACATGCAGAAGAATTCTAAATAATGTCTGCTGATTCTCCACCCTCAAGGAGGTGGAGCATCCCTCCCAACTCCATAGTGTGAGTTATGAATAGTGATCACCTCCCAAAGAGTACAATATTAAAAAAAAAAAAAAAAGACACCTGGAGTGTGGGGGAGTAGTTGAGGCAGGCAGGCAAGGAGATTAGCTACTTCTCCCCACGGAGCCAAGTCCCTAAGATAGGGGTCTCCACAGAGGATAAGGAAATTGATAGGCAACAGAGAGAAAAAGAATACACAGAGACTAAAGTATAGTTTATAGTTTTATATATATTAAAAAATCGGATATAACACAGAGGGGATGCTTAGGAGACTGGCGTATCTCCATAAATGCCAGCAATATGGTTAGATTCATAAAGGTTTTTATTATCACAGACATCAATTACCAGTTGTCAGGGTAACATATTTGCATATCAGGAAATGCAGTTGCTAGGGGATACAGGTAGTGGGTTAGGGTCAAAAGTCCTCTCAAGGGGCTTCTAATCTATTTAGGTGAACAAACAGGTACAAAGTCTTACAGGGGCTAACTTCTAGGTTCTGACAGGTAATTGTCAATTAACAAAGGTATAACAAAAGAGGTATAGTGACTCTATATTTCTTTGATTAGTTATGGTGGACTTCAAGGTAGACAGACAGGAGAGAGCAGTAAGCCCATCTCTAATAAACAGGTTGTTTATAACCACTGGGGCACATCTCTGGGCAAAGTGTACTCATTGTTTCAGGCTCCCATCCTGTAGGACACATTTGCCTTGTCTAGTCTTTCAAGACACAGGGAAGCTCACAGATTTTGAGATACCAGGAAATCTTCCTGGAAAACATCCCTACCAGAGATTTGAGAGCTCTCCCATGATAGCAGCCTCTAATAAGGAAACCATTAAGTCCACACATTCCTTCAGGGAGAAACGCTGCAAACTCCTATTTCTGTCTTTAATATAGCAATTTGGGTTATACAATAAAATAATGATCTTATGAGCTACATCTCACTGATTCCTCAATCATATTTCTCAACACTGGAGAAACCTGACAGACTACCTCAGCCAGGTGATCAAAGTTAACATCATCAGTGATAAAGCATGTTAATAGCATGTACCTTTTGTTATGATGTGATTGGTGAAAATGGCAGTTGACCTCTGTGTTCTTTCTCCCAAAAACCTATAACCCCTGTGTACCCATGAGAAAATCATCAGGCTAACCCAAATGGGAGAACATTCTATAAACTACCTGACCAGGATTCCTCGATACTGTCAGGGTCATCAAAAACAAAGTAAGTCTGAGAAATTATCTTAGAGGAAAGGAGCCTGAGGAGGCATGATGACTGAATGTAATCTGGTATTGTGGGTGGGACCCTGGAGCAGAAGAAGGATGATAAGTTAAAAGCTAACAAAGTCAAAAAAAAAAAAAGTATGGACTTTATTTCATAATAATTTATCAATATATGGTTCATTAGTTGTGACAAATGTACCATAATAATAGCAATAAGGAAATCATATATCGAATACACAGGAACTCTCTGTAATACTCCTGCAGTCTTTCTGCAAATCTAATCTAAACTTAAAGGTTTTTTTTTTTTTTTTAAAGTGCTTAGCCCATAGGAAGTCTCAATAAATATTGTTCTTATTTCTTTTTTCATCAGGATGTTTCTCTAAACATTTTTTCTAGGTTCAGAATGTTTTTCTTCCCCTAAGGGCTTTGAGGGCGAGAAGAGGGTGGTAGTGGGGATTCTTAGTTAATATTACAAAGGAATATCCTGGCAAATTGCCTTTCAGGGAGCCTGAAGCAATTTCTACCTCTCTTGTTTGTTTATTTATTTATTTATTTATTTATTTATTTATTTATTTATTTATTTATTTATTTAGGTTGGATGCTGGAATTTGTCATTTTGAAAGGGACACCCTTACTGAGTTATGCAAACGTAAAGCAAATCCCTACACTTTGCAAATGGGGAAGTCCTGAACTCAAGCAGACATTCAAAACTAGCACTGCAATATTAAGTATTCTGTTTGGTAATCTTTACTGGTGACAGAGCTAGACATACTAAATTTAATTCTGGTTGTGGCTGCAGAGAAGCAGCTGGGTCTGGACTGTCAGTGAAGATAGGTTCAGGAAGATTTCAGCCCACAGAAGGAAGCAGAACCATACCACCTGGAGCAGGCGTCCTCAAACTACAGCCCATGGGACACATTCGGCCCACCGAGGACACTTATCCGGTCCACCAGGTGTTTTTGCCACCGCTGCCTGTCCTGCTTAGCAGCCGAGTCATCCCGGGCCCACAGTGCACATGTGTGGAATGTGCGCCTCACTCTCCAACGGCCCTCCAGCGGTCTGAGGGACAGGGAACTGGCCCCCTATTTAAAAAGTTTGAGGACCCCTGAGTCCTGGAGGCAGCCTGGGCCCAAAAGAAGGAGGAGAAAGCCAGCAGTGAGCCCTCTATTGTTGAAACATCCTAGGTAGACAATGGGAACAATTATGGCCAATGTTTGGCTTTAAAGGCCTTAAAACTGTAGATCTTAAAGATGGTCAACCAATATAGCAAGCTATTGAGTGGAATCGTGTTTCTCACCCATGTAGCCATCTGAGTGTCTTGATTCACTGAACTTTCTTAAAAGGATGGTCTTGTTAATAAACTAGCTAAGGAGAAAGATGAACTACCAAACAGAAAGTAAGAGGAATAAACTCATGGCACATAATTGCCCCTTTAAAGTGAAAACTCACAGCACAGCTACCCTCTTTGTTTTGTTTGATTAAACACCCCAGGCCCAACTCATTGTCTTTAAATCTAACTCCTTATCTCTAAGAGTTCCTTTTAACAGCCTTGAAGAGCACTAAGCAGACAGCAGGGGTCCGAACTCCCTCTCAGCTCTCTGCTAGAACCAGATTCCAAGGACTCTGATAAAGCCAGCCTCACAGAGAAAAGAAAAAGAAAAAAAAAAAGGAAAACCAAATTCAGCTGCTTCACAGCCACTTCTGTTATTAGCTGCCAGCTGTAACTATTTTTTTCTCTCTTCTCTTTGTCCCCATAAAAATCCTGAGTTTCTTCTGCTCCATGCCAACACTTCTCCTCTCCTTCTTTCCTGTTGTGCCCTTCCCACCTTTGAGAAGTAAACTTTTTACTTCTGTATATCCTAATCTTTGTGTGAGAAATCTTTCTCAGCTCACATACAAATTTACACCGTAATATTTCCTTTTCTTGGTGCAAACAGCCAACCATGCTGCTCTGTCTTGTGCCCACTTCAACCTCTTCCCAAACTGGAGGATTCCTTGTGCATAAACTGTTGAGGTAGGGAGAAGGGTTGGGCTTTCCTTCAAACTTTCAAGCCTCTGACATTTCCAGTTCTCTTTGTATACGTTGTTAGACTTGGAAATGGAATGGGACAGAAAGACCGGGCATTGGGTCAGCTGCGTGTCTATTTGCACCACATGTGCTCACAGGCAAGATGCCCTCTGATCACTGAGAACAGTGTTATTTGGGCTTTCTAAGAAATATAGTTTGAGGCCAGGCGCAGTGGCTCACACCTGTAATCCTAGCACTCTGGGAGGCCGAGGCGGGCGGATTGCTCGAGGTCAGGAGTTCAAAACCCGCCTGAGCAAGAACCAGACCCCATCTCTACTATAAATAGAAAGAAATTAATTGGCCAACTAATATAGAAATATAGAAAAACTAATATAGAACTAATATATAACAACTAATATAGAAAAAATTAGCTGGGCATGGTGGCGCATGCCTGTAGTCCCAGCTACTTGGGAGACTGAGGCAGCAGGATTGCTTAAGCCCAGGAGTTTGAGGTTGCTGTGAGGTAGGCTGACACCACGGCACTCACTCTAGCCTGGACAACAAAGTGAGACTCTGGCTCAAAAAAAAAGAAAAAAAAAAAAGAAATATAGTTTGACATTTCAACACAACCTTTCTTCCTACTGAAGCCAGAGGATGAGGGGATTCATTCTTTCTGTTGCCTCTAGAAAATTTTAGACCCTAAACCAATGTGTACTCCTAAGCGTGTGCGCCTGAGTGACTTCTTAATTACTCCCACTGAAACAACCTCACCATCAGCAGAATTTTTCTACAGGCACATCCAACTATAATCCCTCTGACAATTCTCACGCTGGTTCTGGGATTAAAGAATTGATAAATGTGGTGGGACGCTGTGACTCAGCCTGGAAGAGCCAAAAAAATACTTTTCCCCAAGTCCTTTCCACATCAAGATACAAGAGAAGCCGCAGAAATCACTGGCCTTCAGAAGGGTGCTTAACAGAATTTTCTGAAGCAGAAGGATTCTCAAGGTTCATGTGAACATTATTTAAGGCGTTGAAGCTCCGGAAAGAAGATTGGAGACTTTAGGTAAGAAATAAAACTGTACATGAGTCTGTGTGCCTGGAGTGTTTGAGTGTCTACACACAGAGTGAGAAGATGAGAATGAACAAAACTGAGATCTAGGTGTGATCATCAGGATTCACA